CCCCGCCGTAAGGACCCCCACCCACCACCCCAGCCTTGGGGCACCCTGCCCCATCCCAGTGTCCCCACTGCCCACCCTGGGTGTCCCAGCCCCATTCCCAGTGTCCTCCTCAGTGCCCACTATGAAAGCCCCAACCCCACCCCGGTGTCCCTGGTACCCACTCTGGATGCTCCAGCCCTCTCCCAGTATCCCTAGTGCTCACCCTGGATGTCCCATTCCATTATCCCTGGTGCCTATCTCGGGTATCCCACTGCCAACCCTGAGAGTCCCATTCCCATCCTATTGTCCCCAGTACCCACCCCGGGTGCCCAGCCTGCCCTCCACTCCCCGGGCACCCCGTGCCCAGTGCCGGGGGTCCACATGCCCTTCTACCTGGCAGATCCCGAGACCCTACTGCCGCTGGACCGACGGGAGCCCCTGGGACTTCAGCTGGTGGCTGCCCGGGCACCCCCTGCTCGGCCACCACTATTGCACCAGCCTCTGCACCAACAGTCAGTGGGGGCTCCGGGGGGCCGCAGGGGACCCCCTGCCCATGGTGGGGTTGGAGGGGAGGGTGCTGGGGCACCTCAGGCTGGGGAGTGACACCGGGGCGTTGGGGTCTAGTGTGGGGTGGCTGGAGGGTCTGTCACTGGGGGTGGCTGGCATTGAGAGGTCAGTGGGTGATCCCTGGGGCTGAGGGGGTCCCTGGGGGTGGGGATGCTGGTGGGTGCCAGGCTGACCCCCCCTCTCTCCCTAGATGCACGCTGGAGGAGCGTGAAATGCAAGAGGCGGCTGCCCTTCATCTGTGAGATATGAGGGTCTCAGCCCCCTGGGCCCTCCCCAGCACGCCCTGGCGCTGACCCCCACGTGGGGAGCTGCACCCCCCCCTCTCGGAGCTCAATAAAGCCTTGGTGTCAGCACTCACCTGGTGTTTGGGGAGGGGTTTGGGGGGCTGGGGGCCTGGATGGGTGCTGGGAGCAGCCGGGGGGGCAAGAGGGGGTTTGGGGGTGTCCCTTGTTTCCTGGGTGGGCAATGGGGGGGACAGGGTCCCCTGCCCAGGGGCAGCACTCTGACCTCCCCTCCCTCTGCTCCCACACCCCAACCCTGCCTGCCAGAGCGCCCCCATAACCAAGGCTGGACATGGGTGGGTGCTGCGAGCCACGGGTTTATTGTAGGGGGCTGCAGCCCCCCGGCATGGGGCCGGCAGGGAGCAGGGAGGTGCCGGAGGAAGGCGCACGGGGGCACCATGGGGGCAAGGGACAGGGCACTGGGGACACTGGGATTGGGACTGGGCATGCGGGGTGGGCACTGGGGACAGTGGGATGGGGCTCAGTGTGGAGACTGGGTGGGCAGTAGGAGCCCGACGGGGGTCCCGGCAAGCCCCTCACCCAGCCGTGGGCTTCCCCTCAGTGGGGTAGGTGGCACCAGGGCTAGAGGCCGAGGGAGAAGGTGCCTGAGTCAGTGGACTGCTTGTCCCGAGTGCAGCCCCCCAGTGCCCCTGGGGGACACGTCGTGGGGGTGGCGGGGGTCGCGGGCACACCGGCCTCTGGCACCTGTGGGGCCGGGCACTGGATTAGTCACTGCCCACAGCCAGGGCACCCGGGGGGCTCAGGGGAACTGCCCCCACTAGCCAGCCCTACACAGCCCCAGGCACAGGGCCGATCGAGCCCCCCGGAGGTGACCCCATCCCCACGGCACCCCGGCCCCACGTCTGACCTCCTCGAACTTGCGGGCCTTGTAGTGCTCGGCGCCCTTCAGGAAGTTGAGCAGGATGATGTCGCACAGCACTGTGCCCTGGGGGCAGCGTCGTTGGGGTGGGGGGCCCTGCGCTATGGGGCACCCCCTGACCCTCCTCCAGTCCCCCACTGTCGCCCCGGGGCTGTGCTGTGTTCCCATGGCTACGGGAGGTGCACCACGCCAGGGCTGAGAACGGCCACAACTCACCACACCGATGGAGGTGAAAGCTGCCACTGTGTTGATGAGGGTGGGGACGATGCCGAACTTCCCGGCCTGGGGGGTGCAGAGCCCCTGTCGGCGGAAGCCCCCACCCCTGCCACAGACCCGCGAGCCCCCGGCCCCACACGTACACTGCCATACACCAGGACATCGAAGCGGATGCCGAAGGCCTTGGTGAGGGTGCGGCGCTCGGAGCCGTCGGGCCAGCGGTAGTACCTGGCGTGCCTGCGGGGGCATGGGGACACGGGGACACAGGGACAGGGGCACACGGGGCCGTGCCAGGCAGCGCACACCCCTGTGCCGGGTGTGTGGCGGTGGCGGCACGGCCGTACCTGAAGTTGTAGCCGGGGGCAGGAGTCCGGGCCAGGCTGTCCAGGCGGGTGAAGGAGTAGTGGGGCAGGCAGCGCTCCCAGGCCCGGTCCAGGTCACACACCCACCCGATCTTGATCCCCAGCACTCCCCCCTGCCCCGGCCCCACATCAGCCACATGGCACCACAGACCTCTGTTCCCACAGTGTCTTGTTTCAACAGCCTCACAGCCCCACATTCCCATAGCCTCATGCTCCGTGTCCCACGTACCCACATCCCACATCCCCAAGTCCCCAAGTCTCACATTCCCATGTCTATAGACACATCCCACATCCCAAACCCCATGCGCCCACGTCCATGTGCCTGAGTCCCCATGTCCCTCTGACCCTCCATCACCACACCACCAAGTCCCACATCACTACGTGTCTTGTGCTCCTGTATCCCCGTGTCCTGTTCTCAACACCCCACATCCCTGCATCCTGTGCCCCCAAATCATGCTTCCCCATGTCCACAGGTCCCCCCATTCCATAATCCCCTCGTCCCGTGTCTCACACCCCCATGTCCCACATCCCTGCATCCCCACGTCCCGAGTCTTTGTGTCACCAAGTCCCACATCCTCATGCCCTCACATCCCACCTACCTGTGCCCCCATGTCCCCAC